CTCTCTTGCATGCCATTCCATGTCCTTTTCTGCGTAATCCCTTTTTATGAGGAAGATTAAGACATCCCTATTATGGCAACCATGTGAAAATGTGACTTTGCATGACGTTTCGTATACACAACGGCGTTAGGGCCGATGGTAGGCCGTTTGAAGTGCAAATCGTCTGCTTACGAGAATTACGAGTGCGGATTCGACAATCTACAGGAGTGTTTCACCGAACATAGCGACACGAAGTCTTGCCAACTGGGATTTAGCTGAATGCTCAAATGTAATACGGTTTTCTAACGAGAATTATGCAGCCGACTGGTCAAAGCGTCTTCAGCAGATACTGCGTCCAAAGCTTACTTTGTCTGCTCTGAGTTTTATTGACACAAATTTTTCCTGGCGGTATTGTGCAAATCGTATTCTAATTTTGTCTATTTTGTTATTTATGGAAATAGATTTTCACTGGAATTATTCAAAATTTGCAGGCTGTTGGAATGGATCAGGAAACACGGTGGAGACTTTCACAGCACCAGGCCGGTCAGCTGATGTCAGCAACGACTTGACAGCTTGGAGCTGGTCGTCGAAGAAACCACTGGCGACGCTCGCACAGATCGCTGGAGCTGCATGCATTCGCATGTAAACTTCTGCGTTTCTTGATGTTCCTTCTATGGCCCACATGTTAAGCAATAAACGACTTGCAATGTAAGCTGGTTAGTCGTTTTTTTGAAAACCTCGAATGGGTGTGCAGTGCCCAACACCTAAGGTGACCGATAATTAATGCTGTGTTTATAAACGGCCAGATCGCAGACGGTCAAAATTTAAACATAGCTACTCAGGAAATCTCACACGAATCACGAAAAGCCGTAGTGAATGCTTGCGTTATCATTATAAACATGCGTATGATAGCATAGGAATTGCAGCTTATAAAAATGTCACCCTCTGTACGTCCACAACTTCAATATGTTGCTGTCCTTGATCAAAAAGGTATCGGGAAACTCAAGTGAACATTATTTTCGCTCCAGCGATCGAATGATTCTCCTCACATGAAAATGACACTGCTAAGAATGCTTTACTTCTGAAAAATAAGTTGTTTCACTCTCCGATGTTGCTCCTAGCCTAACTGGTAATATTCGAACACACAACAGCAAAGAGAGGTTTTAGTACAGCCAACGCTCTAGCCACCTGAGATACGTCGCCCCACCGGACGACGCGAGTTTAATTACATTTGCGTCAAGTTTACCCGTTCGATCTACTGCACCGTCTTTAATCCACCTAATCTGATACAGTAAGCTGAATTTCCAAGCAGGATTTATTAATTTATACGCCTAGAATCCACCAAATGGCTACGAGTCTCACGTAATTCATAGGTATTATGGCAGATACGGTTAAGGTAGCGTCGTCCGATGGAGCCTCTTAGCACGTGTGACTAGAGCGTTGGCCATACTAAGGCTTCCCCACCGAGGCTCCGAGTATTTCATATGCGTATCAAAATGACTCGTCTGTGTACTTGAGTTTAATACGGCAATATTGACAATAGTCGGCCAAGCTGAAATAGGCTCGTCTTGTCAGTCAAAATAAGGAGGTATGGGTTACTTGACAAAGTTAAACCCCTGCTGTCGTGGGTTCGATTCCCATCGTGTCACCGAGGGTTTACAGTTCGATTGCGGTGGATACGTGAGTCCTTAGGAAATATATTCTGTAAGCTGAGGGGGCTCTCGGTTCTGACGGATAGGCAGTTTAAGACTGTAGAGTGGTTATACCTTCAGGTGTGGCACAACACTGACATGTCAGGAAAATTCCCTGCAAGCTGGTGGCAAACATGCAGATCTGTATTTCGTTTTACGAATGTTGCACTGATTGAATTAGAACCCCTGTCATCATTATTCACAAACCAAGTGACAGACGAGAGCAGATCACGCCACTCTGGGTGCAGCGATGTGCACTAAAATTTACTGATCCGATGCGGAGGGAGGGAGCTGGCTGGGTGGGGTTTCGTATGTGCAGATTGCAGGCGCGCTGGTGTTGTGTGTTATCAGGGTGGGGCATCGATTCTCGGGAAAGAAGAGGATGACGCACTCTCTACACGAACTTCTCTTCAGTCTCACAGCGTTTGGAGCCCTGAATTACGCTAGCCCTTCGCCAAAGCTTCATGTAGCCATAGGTGATCGAGATGGTGGTGTGCAATTTCTGTCTTTCAGCGGCTGTACGTTACACTAAGTCTGCTGTAGAGCGTGATGTCGAACAGGGTTAGACAATCACCGGTCAAAATCGCACTGCATGAATATTGTACAGGCTTATGGTTTGATCTTGGAAAGGATAAGCGACGGTGGCGTAAGTGACAGAGTTAGAGCGAGAAAGTTTAAATCAGATGATGCGTCGGCTCCATGGTGGCATGAGGGCACGAGGCCCAGACAATGGGGCCTGGCAGGAGACCAGAAGTTAAGCTACCCCCAGGTAAGCTGAATATTGCCTTGTTGTCTTTGCCTGCTCGCCATCTCCATTCCAGGAACGAGCTAGCTCAACGGCTAGACAACCTTCCTATCGCTGCTGCCGCCGCCGAGGCCGTCGATCTCGCTGACGAGAACGCCTCCGTTGAGAACCGCTGGTGTCAACTGCGGGATACAATCCAGTCGACAGCGCTAGACGTCCTCGGTCGCGCAGGCCGGCAACACCAGGACTGGTTTGACGACAACGACGCCGCCATCAGCAATCTGCTCGTCGAGAAGAACCGCCAAGACAAAGCCTACTTAGATCACCCCACTGCGGACAACAAAGCTGCTTTCTACCGCAGTTGCCGCCACCTTCAGCAACAACAGCGCGAGATGCAGGACGCCTGGACTGCTCGCAAAGCTGAGGAGATCCAAGGATACGCAGACCGCAACGAATGGAAGAACTTCTTCGCCGCTACTAAAACTGTCTACAGTCCGCCGACGAAGGGCACTGCTCCTCTCCTCAGCGCTGACGTTAGTACCCTTCTGACCGAGAAGACACAAATTCTCCAGCGTTGGACTGAACACATCCGAGGCGTCCTCAACCGCCCCTCCGCCATCTTTGACGCTGCCATCGACTGATTACCGCAAGTGGAGACCAACGTGGAACTCGACCTCCCGCCATCTCTGCAGGAAAACATCACGGCCGTGCAGCAGCTCTCCAGCGGGAAAGCACCCGGATCGGACGCAATCCCTGCTGAGATCTACAAGCACGGCGGTCGCCAACTGATGGATCACCTGACTGCGCTCTTCCAGGAGATGTGGCGTTCAGGTGAAGTCCCGCAAGATTTCAAAGACGCAACCAGCGTGCATCTCTTCAAGGGGAAGGGGAATCGCCAAGTCTGCGACAATCACCCTGGCGTCTCCTTACTGAACATCGCCGGGAAAATTTTCGGTCGCATCCTCCTCAATCACCTGAACAACCATCTGGAACAGGGCCTTCTGCCGGAAAGTCAATGCGGCTTCCGTCGTCATCGAGGGACCACGGATATGATCTTCGCCGCCCGTTAACTTCAGGAGAAGTTCCAAGAGATGCGGACTCACCTATATTCTACCTTTGTGGACCTGACGAAAGCCTTCGACACGATGAATCGTGAAGGACTGTGGAAGATCATGCAGAAATTCGACTGTCCGGAGCGACACATCGAGATGGTGCGTCAGCTGGACGACGGTATGATGGCGCGATTCATGGACAACGGAACTGTCTCAGAGGCATTCGCAGTGACCAACGGAGTGAAGCAGGGATGCGTGCTGGCGCCTACAATCTTCAGTCTGATGTTCGCTTCCATGCTGATGGACGCCTACCGCGACGAACGCACCCACCACCGGGATCCGCATCGCCTACAGGACGGATGGTCACCTCCTGAATCAACGGCGGATGTACTTCCAATCGCGAGTATCCACAACCACCGTTCATGAACTCCTCTTCGCCGACGACTGCGCCCTGAACACCACCTCAGAAGAGGAGATGCAACGGAGCATGGACTTGTTCTCCGCCGCCTGCGTGAACTTTGGGTTGGTCATTAACACGCAGAAGACGGTCGTGATGTATCAACCGCCGCCACCCTACTCAGCCACACCCCCTTACGCTCCGCAAATCAGAGTGAACGAAACCCAACTGCAGGTGGTGGAAAACTTCCTGTACCTGGGCAGTATCCTGTCCGGCAATACCAAGATCGATGACGAAGTCGCCAACGGGATCTCGAAAGCCAGTCAAACATTCGGCCGCCTCGTAAGCACAGTTTGGAATCCTCACGGTCTCCAACTGAGCACGAAACTAAAGATGTACAAAGCTGTCATCCTGCCGCCGCTGTTGTATGGAGCGCAGACTTGGACGGTGTGCGCGAGGCAGGCACGCCGACTGAACCACTTCCACCCTAGTTGTCTTCGTCGCATTCTGCGGCTAAACAAGCAGGACCGAATCCCCGACACTGCTGTGCTGGAAGGGACGGGAATCCTCAGCATCTACACCATGCTGAGACAAATGCAGTCGCGCTGAAGCGGCCACCTTGTGCGCATGGACGAAGAGCGACTACCTAAACGACTCTTCTTTGGAGACGCCGCGACGGGTTCTCGCCGCCAAGGAGGCCGAATTCGCCGATACAAGTATACTCTGAAGTCCTCCCTGAAGCACCTGCAGATCAACCCGTCCAACTGGGAAGAGCTCGCACTCGACCGACCGACCTGGAAGAGGATAGTGGAGATAAATGCTGCGATCTACGAAGCCAACTGCATCGCTGCCGCCAAAGTGAAGTGCGAAGCCCGGAAGTCACAACTTCGCCCAGAACGCAACGCCGACGCACAACCGCTTCCAACGTGTCCTCGATGTCAACGGACATTCCGGACACGAATCCGACTTGTTGGACATCTTCGGATCAACTGAGCCTCTCGAACTGCACCAACCATCGTCGCCCCACCCGCATCTTCCTCGTCCTCTCTGCCGCCAACTAACTCTGACAATTCTTGTGAACCACCACTTCCTTCCTTCCTCCACCAACTCCTCCGCCTCCTCCTCCTCCTCCTCCTCCTCCTCCTCCACCTGCACCACACCAACGATGGCCGCTCAGGCGGGGTCTTACACACCACCAACCCTGACACAACGACCGACACCACCCCCACTGCCTCCGACTACAGCGATTACGGTCAGGACTGCTCCTGTCCTCAATGCGACCGCGCCCTCACCTCACACATCAACCTGGTCGGTCACTTGCGAATCCATCACACAGAGACTGGCGAACCAGCGCCTGGAGCACCAACCTACACCCACCAAACTCGACTCAGTTGTTCACACTGTCCTCGCACTTTCAGGCATCGCATAGGCCTATTCGGCCACATGCGCATCCACGAGAGCGGAATTGACCGCAGTCTCGACACACCCACTACATTCACCGCGCCCAGCCCAACACTTGCTACATCGCCCTTGCTACATGGCGGCTGGAATGGCTCCTCCCCGCTGGCTTCTGTGGAGTTCTGCCAGTTGCGAGCAGACTGGCGAGAGAGGGCGACCTCGTCGGACTTTTGGCAGCCAGCCGCGCCCATGAGAACTGCACGAGACGCTCTGGCAGCGACACTTTTTCGGGGCAAAATCATTGTCGCCGGGGGAGATGATGGCAGAAGCATATTAAACGTTGTGGAGATGTTCACACCACCAGATGCCAGGTGTCCCCAGGGCCAGTGGACAGAGCTGGCCGGCATGAAGGAACCCCGCGCGTATTTCGCTCTTCTCACCTTCAACGACGACGCCATCTTTGCTCTCGGTAATGATGCCTCCTCCTCCTCCTCCT